GCATCTGCATCTTCCTTGACTCTTGACTTTTTTTTTTTTTTTTTTTTTTTTTGAGATTGTCTTGTTACATAGCTCTGGCTGGGTTAGAACTTGCCACGCAGCTGTTATGACCCTGTGCCGATCCTCCTTGCCTCTAACTCTGAGTGCTAGAATTGTGAGTGTGTGCTACCAGACCCAGATATTTGTCTTTTGTTCTGACTATGAAAGCGTATGTAACTGCTTCCATATTAAGTCATGTTATTCAGTTGGGCAGTGGTGGTGCACACCTTTAATCCAGTGCTCAGAAGGCAGAGGCAGGAGACTCACTGAGTCCAGGATGGCTAGGGCTACACAGAAAAACCCTGTCTTAGAAAACCAAACCAAAACAAATAAACCAGATGTTATTCAGGGCAATCCGAATGTGTGCTCCTTGGCCACAGTTATTCATATTTGGCAGAGAGTAAATGATCTCTTGCTCCCTTTGACAGCTGTGTTTTGTGCTGATGACTTTACAGAGAGTATCAATGCAGCCAGATGTGGCCTGTAATCCCAGACTGAGGACAGGAAAAGTGAGGTTTTGGCTGTTTTAGACTACATAGCTTCCTTAATCCTTTTTTTGTTTGTTTTTGTTTTTCAAGACAGGGTTTCTCTAGGTAGCATTCGCTGTCCTGGACTCACTATGTAGACCAGGCTGGCCGCAAACTTACACAGATCTGCCTGCCTCTGCCTCCCAGAGTGCTGGAATTACAAGCGCACACTACTGCTCCCGGCCCTACATAACTTTCTTAAGACCAAAAGGGGGGTATTAATATGAAATTCTTGTTGATATACCACATAGCATGTACATGGAATTAAAAATATAAATTTGCTCCCCCATCCACCCAATGGATAAGGCAGTTCTCTCCAGGTTTCCTATTTTTTCACACTGTCTTACTTGACTGCTGTGATGAAACACCATGACCAAAAGCAACATGGAGAGAAAAGGGTTTATTGGCTTACGCATACACAGTCCACTGAGGGAAGCTAATGGAGGGATTTAAACCAGGTGAGAACCTGGAGGCAGGAGCTGATGCTGAGGTCATGGAAGAGTGCTGCTTATTGGCTTGCTCAGCCTGCTTTCTTAAGAGAACTCCTGGGTTCTCCAGGACCACCTGCCCAGGGGTGACACCACCCACAATGGGCTGGCTCTCCCCATCAATCACTAAGCAATGTCAAATTAGTATGGAAGTTGCTAGACATCCCTCACGTATCTGTATCCTGGAAAGCCAGCAGCAGAACATCAAGTCCAGAGATTGCCATTCTGTGGCATTTCACAGCTACATCGTATGCATTCTGAACTTCTACATCCCCTTCAGCAGGCCTTTTTACCTCTGAACATTTCCTCCATGCTCTCTTCATTCAAGGAACTGAGTAAAAGCACACATTTCAAATACCTGTGGTTTTGCCCATGTTCTCCCCTCCTTCAGAGATGCCCCGACTGCTTCACCCTTTGGAAGCTCACTGATCAGAAAAGTCTTTTCTTTTTATCATTACTGTGACACTTGGAACACATGTCAGCTGCAGCACGAATCATGTTGTCCTGTTTCCATGGGACAACCACATACACTGCTCCTTCACAGGTAGGCTTTTCCTCAAATGCTGACCACCAGCTAGTTGTGGTAGGCCATGTCGATACTGAGGACCAGGGGGAGGAAGACCTCCAGTTGGAAGCCAGCCAGAGCTACACAGCAAGATGTTACCCTTAAAAAACAGTAAATAAAAATTTAAAAAGCTGACTACCTGGCAGCCCCATCACCAACAGGTCAGAGAATATGAACTACTCTCTCTGGGTACCAGGGTTTAAACTTACTTGAATCTCTACTTCCACTCAGGTCCCAATCCACCCCACCCATGTCCAGTTCAACCTTAAAACAGTGTTCCTTTCACTACTGGTTCTCTTCTTGCCTTCAAGTTACCCATCCAGGAGTTTTAGGTAATTTTTTTCTCTGTCAGAACCCTCAATGACTCCTTCCTGAATATCCAAGATCTCAAGCCAAGCCAGCTGTTCTCCCAGCCATCATATCTCACAAAGAACCTTGACACGTTCTGGTCATGACATTCCACTTCAAATGTTGTTTTCTGGTTTCTATGTCTTCGTTAATAATGAAGTGCCTGGTAATCGTTCAGGCTTTTCAAGGTCCACCTAAAGCGCTGCCTCCTCCAACACACACAACTGGGCAGTCCTTGCCTTTCTTGAGCCTCCATGGGCATTATCGCTCTCCAACAGTAGCTCCCACTCCCCTCCCTCTGATTACCAGAGGCCTGGCTAATTCATAGGCCATTCTCACAGCTGTAACAGAAAACTCAATTTTGAGAGCCAGAGCAGTTAGCCTCCTCGCACCAACCCCCACCCCTTCTCTCCCATTTTCTTCTCTGGCACTAGTGATTGAAGCTTCAAAGCATGCTACCATTGAGCTGTAGACCTTGATTCCTTATTTTATGAGAGGTTATAGAGGTAGGTTTAAAACTCTTCTGGGGGGTGGTGCTGGAGGGATGGCTCAGAGGTTAAGGACACTGGCTGTTCTTCCAGAGGTCCTGAGTTCAATTCCCAGCACCTGTATGGTGGCTCCCAACCATCTATGAGATCTGGTACCCTCTCCCGGCATGTAGGCAGAATACTGTATACATAATAAATAAATAAATAAATCTTTTAAAAATACCAAAAAACTCTTCTTGGGCTGGGGGTGTAGCTCAATGGAAGATTGCTTATCTAGTGTGTACAAGGCCCTGGCTTTGATCCCCAGCACTACCAAAAAGAAAAACTTGGTCATGATGGTTCCTCTGTGTAGGCCAGGCTGGGCTCAACCAACCACCTTCATGCCTCAGCCTCCAGGGTTCTGGGATTATAGTATGTTCCACCATAACCACCTGGCCAAACTTTTCTTTGCTGTATTTCCCCTCAATGCCATCTCACCTTAGACCAAATTAATGGTTTCCTTTTCCTCTAGTCAACTCTTACTCATGAATCTCAAGGAAAGGAAGGATTTCTTGTAAGTGGGAAGGTTAGATTGTGAGTAATACATGTTGAAAAGATAACCTGGAAGGTGGCATTACCATTACCAAAATAGCAGATGCCACGCCTTCCCCATTAGCTAAACAGTGAGGCACTAGCAGACAGACCAGAGAAGGGTTGGAAGGACTGGTAGAAGAAGCAAGGCTTTTCTGTAGACCAGTCGAAGCACTTTCTACCTCAGAAAGAAAGTGGCAGCAGGAGCAGTCCAGGCCACAGCCAGGGCAGAAGGGAGCCTGCTGTGGAAGTCTAAGAGAGCTGCTACCACATCCATTAGCAAAGACGGAGGTGGGGCACGAGCCTGTAGTCTTAGCACTTCCAGACAAGGGTAAGACTGCTGATTCGAGGCCAGGCAGTCACAGAAAGGTTGTCTCACAGTGTTCTCTAAGAGGAGGGTTCAGACTGACAGGAAGCCCTACCAGGTCCCAGCACGAAGGAAGGACTTTCTGAAGGAGGATGATGGTGAAGTGGGAGGCAGGGAGCAATGCGGCTAGAAGCAATAAAGTCAGAAGGAACACCACCAGAAACAAAGGTCTTAAGCAAAGGCAAGCACAGGGAAAGGAGTGGAATGAGTACATGGAGGAACATGTAGAAGTGACAGGCCTCAGGAATGTTTTTAGCCCTGGGTAGTGAAAGAGTGGGTGCTGAGGAGAAAGGAGGCTAATAGGAAGGGGTTACAACACTTGTTCAAAACCAGATAACTCATTTAAGGGATAAGCACAGGAAAACCAACTTGATCCAACATCAATGATTCCAGCCCACACTGTGCAGAATCGCACAACTAAGTGCCTTATACCCTACACATGGTAAATGCAACATCTACATTTTAAAATTAAAAAAAAAAATTAAATCTAATTACATCAGGAGCTACTCAAGGGTAGCTTGAGTACCACTCAAGGGTAATGTGAAATTTGTAATGTAGGATATAAAAAACGGTCTCCCCACAGCGTTGCCCGTGGGGATTCTAGAAACAAATGAGTTCTGGTGCCTTACAGGTAGGAAAGTCTGGAGAAACATGGGTATCTGAAGGTGTTCAGGAAGCTCAAAACATGTGGCTTTGAGAAGCTGGTGACTTCAAACCGAGAAGAGCAGTGAGGAGCTTTCTCCTAAGTTCCCAGATCTGACCCTCCAAATACCGCCGGAGAGGAAACACCACCTTACTCCTCAACTCAGCTTTGGCCTTCTGGCCCTTCTCCCACGCATGGGCTTGTAGGGCTCTCTTCCATGCAAACAAAATTAAAATGCCCTTTCTTCAGGCAACCTGTCGACTACCTGGTTATTTCACTGGCTCAATGAGATTCGGAAGCAGAGACTGTTCTGCGGTCAAATTGTGCCACTGTTTTCTGACGAGAGGGGGAGGAGCTGGTGGCGGTGTTGAGTATGTATAAGGTCTGAAATACTGATTAGACATAAGGTGAGTCACCGCTTGGTTTCAGTTTCTCCAGCTGTTCATTTAATAGAAGAGTCCTACCAAACCGTCCTCGCTGGATTTTTAAACGCTGAGTTATTCCTTTTCTGATACTCGGCGGAACGTCAGACGTGCTACGAGCATCATATCATCGAGTATCAACAATACAGGAATAATGTTATTTCGAACGCAGCTACTAAATATCCCGACTCTAAAGTGTCTAAAGCATTGCTTATCCTTATGCTTTCCTCCTCCTGATTTCCAAGAGGGCCTAAGATCTCCAAAGAGTTCAGAAGCCCCGTAGTGACGACCTGGAGGGTGAAAAACAACCAGGAGCGTGGAGCCCTCGCACATCCAAGGGACTGGGGGGACCGACAGCGCGACCACGCAGCGCGCTTGCTCCGGGCCTGACGGCTCCGCGCTCTGCGCACCTCGCCTACTTCCATCTTCGCGGGGGACCGGAGAGGGAAACGCTGTCGCAGCGCCCTTTCCAAACGAGGAGACCAAGGCTCCCGGGATGAAACCGCTACGCCCCGCGGGCCGCAGGGGCCAGGCCGGACTCACCTTGGCGCTGTGCACCGCCTCCTGCGCGCCGCGGAGCTGCAACCAGATGCGCGCGGGCAGCGGCTCCTCTGCCCCGAGCGCGCCGAGCACCGCCAGGCCCACGCCGAACAGAGCCTCGATGCGGCCGCGGCTCCGCTCCAGCAGCGCCGCCTTCTCGGCGGGCGCCGTGAACTCGTCCAGCACCGCCCGGGCCGCCATGGCGGGCGCGGCCTCCCGTGGCGCCGGGGGCCAGCGGCGGCGACGCCCCCTCAGCGTGCCGCCGCTGCACCGAGCCGCTGTCCGGAGGCGTGGGCCGCGCCGGCCGCCTCCCCCGCCCGCAGGCCCCGCTACACCATCACGACTCGGCCGCCGCAGCTTAGCAACTGCGGGCAGTGACTCTCCGCCGCCCCGCCGCCGCCGCCACAGCCGCCACGCATGCGCTCAGCCCGCCGCCGTCATTGAAGCTCGCCGCCCCGTCGTGAAGGCTGCGTTGGTAGGCTGGGGGCGACGGAAGTCGACGCCATACGCGGTCACCATATTGGTTGAGGGCAAGCGTCGGGAGGCGAGGCCTGGGTGGCCATGTTTGATGAGGGGTTGGTGCCTTTGGTCATCTAGTAAGTAGGTGGGATGTTTGGGGGTTTACGTTGGTAAGCAGATGGTACTTCTTTTCCCCTCTTTTCGTTTTTTTTACTCCCTTTTCTTCCCTTATTTACTTTATTTAAAAAAAGTTACAACAGGAAATGAAAAAGGGACTACCTGTAGAGAATTGAAAGGCTAAATAATTGCTTACACAGTGTCAATTACTTGTAATCGCAGCGGGATGGGGAAATGAGGCAGGCGGACACTGGTCTGCTGAAGGCAAGCCTGAGGTACATAGTTCCAGACCAGCTGGGGTTACCAAGGGAAACCTTGTCTCAAAAACCAGAGGAGACATGGCTAGGTGGTTAAAAATTCTTGTTGGATACTCATAAGGGCTGGGAGTTAGGATATATCAAGCCAGGCAAGGGAACAGATCTCTAGTGCCATCTCCGAGGGAGGTGGGAAGACAGGAGGGCTTGCTGGCTTCCAGCTTAGCTGAGAAAAGGCAAAAGAACAGCGGCTGATTCAAAGAAAAACTCCACGGTAAAGGAGTAGTTGCGATGTGGAAGAGATCACCTGAAAGCCCCTTCTGGCCTCTCCTTGGAGAGAGACAGGACACACTTGTGCCCATACACTCGCTCACAAATAGAACATACAGAAAATAATTCTAAAGTAAACCCATTCAAAGAAGCCGGGCACGGTGGCCTGTATTTGTGGCAGCACTTAGGAAGCTGAGGCTGGAGGATCGAGACTTCAAGATCAACTTTGGCAAGAGCCAGGCGCAGCCTCAGAAACATCTCAAGCTCTCTCCCTGTGCTCTGTCCCTCACTATCTCCACTATTGTCTCTCACTTTCCCTCTGTGCCGGGTCGGCAGTTTATTTACTGTACCTTCGCATACAAGAAAGAGAAAAAGGCAATTTCACAAGGGTTATTTGTGTTATGTGCGAGGCACAAATTATAGATATGGGGGCGGGGAGGGGGCTCACTCATGATCATACTTGTGCTTGCGCGGCTAGGGCAAATAAGCCCAAATCCTTCTTCAGGTCTGTTTTTCCATCTGTAAAGTCAAAGACGTCAGTCACTTGACTCCAACACCTTTTCCCAGACCATAAGTTTTCTTGAATCCTTGAAAATAAATTGTGAAAGATAAAGTTTCTTTCTTCTAAGTATCTTGGATATGGTAAAGAGGACTGCGGGGATATTGCTTACTTCTCTGTACTGTAATTCTTCATCGGTACACTGCTGGAGGATGTTTTTGTACACTGTGTATTCAGATGCTGATGTCTATGCCCTGAGATATGTTTGCAGTTTTCAGTCCTCATGATCACTAAAGAATTTCCTGTATCAATGTAGTGTAAACATTGCTCCCGACTTATCTCTGATTGGTTAATAAAGAAGCTTATAAGCCAATGACTGGGCAGAGGAGAGAGCAGGCTGGACTCCCTGTCTGGGAGTCTCAGGTAGAAAGAGGGAGGGAAGGAAGTGGAGGAGAGAGGAAAAAGTCACCAAGGTGAGGAGTTCGCCAGGAGGACAGAGTTAGATCAGAAGGCTAAGGCAAGACCAAGACGGCAAGTAAAAGGGCATATGCCTGGGAGCCAGACTAGCATAAATGCGTTAGAACAGTGAGTATCTGCCCAGTTACAGGGCATAAATCTTGTTGAATAAACCTAATAGGTTTCGGTGTCATTTATTTCGGAGCTAGGGCGGGTACCAGAAAAGGCCCCTACTAATGTGGTAAATGGCAGTCCTATTGTGACAGTATAATCCCAACACAGTAAATGCACATTGTAGCTATTATGCAAGGATCTCCTTCATTATCAAAATTAACCAAAAAAATTATTCCCATGTAGTGGGGGAAGTGAGTTATTAGTCTCTTAATCCTGCCTGAGACTTCTGAGTTAAGATGAATTTATTAAGCTACAGGTATGACCGTGGTGGTGCTCCAATCAATTCCCTAAGGTGTCAGGTTTTTGTCCATACTCCCTGAACCCCCACTCCCAAAGACTTTGGCTTCCTGGAAGTGCCTGGTACCTCGTGGGGATAATACAGTATTAACAGTGACATTAATGTAGGACTACAGCAGTATCATCTTCAAGACTCCAGCTTTCATTCTTGTAGCTTTTGGTTTTTTTGAGATAGGGTCTCTCTACATAGCCCTGGCTGTTCTGGAACTCCCTATGTAGACCAGGGTGGCCTTGAACTCATAGAGATCTGCCTAGCTCTACCTTCCAAGTGCTGGGATTAAAGGCATACACCACCACACCTGACTCAGCTTCCATTCTTGACAAATGAACACATTCTTGGTAGGGGCATGGAGGATGCAAATAGCTATTAGTGCCGAATTAGGAAGTGTTTTTCTCTTTTTGGGTTTTTGAGACAGGATTTCTCTGTGTAGCCTTAGTTGTCCTGGAACTTGCTTCGTAGACCAGTCTGGCCTCAAACTCACAGAGATCCACCTGCCTCTGCCTACTGAATGCTGGGATTAAAGGTGTTTGCCACCACTGCCCAATGAATTAGGAAATGCTTAAAGCCTCAGTTTTGATGGCAATCCTGTGGAGGTTTATTACAGGAACACTGAACTGTGGGCCTAGGAACCTGTACCCTCTGTGTGCTTGCTCTCAGAAGGAGAAGGAATTGGATCTAAATATATTTGGGTTAGAAATGGCAATGGTGGTGGTGGGGAGTTGGTGAGACGGATTACCTCAGGTAAGATGTATCGGATAGGATGTATAAGATGTATAGGATAAGATAAGGGTCCAGGCTGTTGGGGTTTTCCATGTTTCAGAAACTCAGGCAGGTGTTCTCCTGGTGCCTTACCAAAAGATGAGTCAGTGCAGGGAAGAGAAACACTGGCCTCACAGACCAGCAGCTTCCTCTTCCCCCTGGGCTTTTCCCCTGGTGTCCACACAACCTGCAGTCTTGCTCCATCAAGGCAATTATCTGGGATTGGCTGAGGCAGACCAGGTGGTAAGTGTGACTTGCTGGTATATGGCACCCGGAGCTTAGTGTTATCAACACAACCTGCTATTTTCTTTGTTGCACTCAGTGGAGTCTACATTGTTCATCAGTTGGGCAGGGCTTTCCCCAACACTGTTCCTGTGTGTTTCTAGTAACTTCCCTGTTGGTGATTCTTTCATTGCTTAGTTGTAAGGGGTGGGGAAAGAGATTATCTTCAAAAGCTCAAAACAGCACTCTCCTTTCTGGCCTCTAAAACAGCAGGAGTAGAGCAACTGGGCTTGATTGTACATACCTGTAATCCCAGCGTTTGTGAGGCTTGAAGATCAAAGGTCAAGGCAAGGTTACACAACACTAACCTGTATTCAGAGTCACCAAGTTGGTATATCACTGAATATATACAACTTTGGGGTATTTTTTCTCCTAGTTAAGATCCTTTGCAGTTTTTATTTGTTCAGCATTCCCCTTTTTGGACCTCTCTTGCTTTTCTGAGTGTAAGGAACAAGGAGGGAGAGAGAAAGAGAGAGGGGGGGGGAAAGGGAGAGAAGGAGAATGTTAAGGCAACTCCCTTGCTTCATTGCTTCATGCAGCCTCTAAACCACAACTTCCTCAGTTGACTAGCCTTGCCTGCCTGACTGGCCTTGCCAGCCTAGGGCATTGATGGTAGGGACGGGATCTTTTTGGAGTCTGGATTCCAGATTTCTCTGTTTCTCTCTGACCAACGAAATGCAATGGTACTGAAGAATCACTTATTCATTTTCTCTGGTAAGAAGGGCAAGTAGTTTCCATCTCTGCTTCTCAGACAGGTAGCCTCTGGCGGAACGTAGCTCACTTGGTTTCCTCCACTTGTCAATCATCCTTCCTCAGAGTAGGTCTCTCAGATGGTGGCTTTCTGGGAAGCTCCGTGCTGTGTCAGACATTGTACTCCTAGGAGAGTACAATGCGCTGTTAGTAGCAGCCATGGTTGCCACCATGCCAGTGACTGGTAGAGGGTTTCTACTTCAGCCATACCCTCTAATAGAATTTTTTTATCAGGAATAAATGTAAAATCTTAAAAATTAAAACATTTTAGAGGCTGGAGAGATGGCTCAGAGGTTAATAGTTCTTGCAAAGGCCCCAGTTTGATTCCTAGCACCTATGTAGCAGCTCATATGTCTTAATCATGATTCAGTTCCACAGGATCTGACACCTTCCTTGGGCACTTGCCACATACTTGGTACACAGACATATATTCAGGCAAAACACCCATATACATAAGAAGATTTAAATTAAAACTTTATTTTAAACTATACGTATATGGGTGGCTTGTATATGTGAGTACAGGTACTCTTGGAGGTCAAGAGATGCCAGATCCCCTGGAGCTGGAATTATGGGCAGTTAGGAAATTTGGACATGGATGTTGGGGGGAAAAATCAGATCCCAAACAGTACACACACTCCTAACTATTGAGCCATCTCTAGCCTTCAAAATAACATCTCGGTCTCCCCCAAACTACGGAGCGACGCTGCTGCTACTGGTGGTTGTGTGGGTAAGTGTGGCTAGGGACTCAGCCCAAACTCTCACGGCACTAGGAAAACATCTTACCACTGAGCTAGATCTCTGGCCTCTGCCTATTTGCTTCTCCTTCTTAGCTTCTAAGTCAAAAGAGTCAGAGCGAATGTTCACTGACCTGCTGAACTTCCCTTAGAGATGAAGATCCAGAATGCCTTTCTACCCTTGAGCTGGCTCAGGCAAGAAGAGATCATGTAGACTGGAGTGAAGGTTCAGCAGTTAAGTGCAGCTGCTCATCCAGAGGACCTGAGTTCAGTTTCCAGCGCCTATGTCAGGTTGCTCACTTGGCTGTAACTCCAGGTTGGGTAGGTATCCAAGGCTTCTAAGCTCTGTAGGCACCTGTATCAAGTGTG